AGTCTTTCTTGTTGTTTTTCTCTTTCTAAAAGAAAAATTTTTATAGTAGAAGTTAATAATTTTTGTAAAATTTACCTCTTCTGTACTCTGTAAAGAGTTCTTGAACTTATTTTTGTAAGTTGTTTAGTTGTAAAGATGGTTTCTCTTGTTTTTTGGCTGGTTTTTCTTTTTTTAAAAAATTATCAAAAAAGGAAAATTTCTAAAAAATTGGGGATTAGCGGAAAGAGTTTTTTTTTTAAAAAAATTTTTTTAATTACAATTATTAATTGTTATTAAATTTAATTTTTATTTCAAGTATATATAATATATAAAATCAATATAAAGATAAAATTTAAAATATTGATAATAATTATATGGCTTTAGATTTAATTATTTTCTTTTATACAAATTCTATCTTTTATTTTATTTTATATTTTTATTATTTTTTTAATATAATTTTAATTAAAAATAAATAATAATAAAATAAAAAATATTTTAAAATTATAATTCTGATATTATAGTTTAGAATTATTATTTTTGGGATATAATTTTAAACCTTAAAAATTTTTTATTCATTTTTAAAAATAATTACCTCATATACTTATAGAAATAAAAATTTAATAAAATATTTTATTTTAATTGTTTATATTCTTATTTTTAGAAAAAAATTTTTATTAAAAATTAGAAAAACTAAAAATATTTTAATGGAAAAAGAAATCTAAAGCTAATAATTAAGATAAATAAAATCATATTTTGAGCAAATATTCTATAAGAAATTAAAACAAAAATAAATAAAAAAAAACATTATCATATCTATAATATTTTGTTAACTAAATGAAAAAGAATTATCTTGTTAAATTGTAAAATAAATTAATTAATTATTTATTATTATTATTTATTTGATATAAATTATTTAAAAATTGTCTTAATAAGAATCAACTCCTTTTGAAAAGATTTTTATATATGATATTGAATTCTTGGAGTTCAAAAGTATTGCCTATATTTATTTTTATTTTCAAATTTGCCGTATATACTTTTTCTTATTTTATATAGTTTTTAGTAATTAGTAAAAAGCTCGATAACTTAGTAGTAATGATATAATGGATTGAAGATTAGTTCAAATCTAAGTCTAAAGAGAAATGAAATATTGCACCCTGAATTTAACTTCGATATACAGTACATTAACTTATGAATATTGATTTCTAGCGATTTAGTCTGCAATCGGTGATGTACTAAATATGAATTCATAATTGTATAATATTGCTCCCGAATAAAGATAATGGCTTCCGGTAAAATTTCAAAACAAAAAAATAATTTGCTATAAAAGAAATTAGAAATTTAAATTTATTATTTATTAGACTACCCGTATTCCACTGATAATTTTCAAGAATAATTCATTACATCAACAAAAATTTGAATCCTCGGATTTTGACCAGTGAATATTATTGGTTCTAATCTATTGGTAATTTTGAAGCAAAATACGTGCATCCATTTTCACCTTAGTCCTTTAAGGAATTCCCCACAATCCGGGCATCTATTATTACGCATGAGTGGTCCACATTCACCAACGGTGTATGGATGACCTCTAGGACATTGACGCCAACGATCCGACTTATAGAATTCTTCACATATCGGTTCGTGAATTTGTAATTTTTCCTTTTCTGCCAATTGCTCGGGATCTTCTGCAGCGACACGAAGTTTTTGAATATCTTGATGAATTCCAATAATTCGTTCGTGACATTTTCGCTCAAAATCTTCTGAACCCAATTTTCGAAGTGAATCCTGAATATCAAAGCAAATTCTTTCAATCTTATCGCATTCACCAGTAATGCGTTTTTTAATCCCTAGTTTGCTCGATTTAGAAAGGACATTGTTCTTCAGCTTAAATATCCAAATTGTGCAAGAAAACTCGGCCAACTCCAATGATGATAGAACCGAATGACGTTTGTAATGAGTTTCCGACGCTGTATTAATTATTCGTTTTAGATGATTCTTGGTAGATATTTCCAAGAAAGCAGAGAATTTCAACCAATTTTTGTAATGCGATGAAGAATTCTTCGTTGATTTTAATTCGGCAATGATTAAAGAAACCTCGTGGAATAGTACTTTTTGAACATGAACTATTTTGAGGAATGCGTCAAGGTAAATCCGTCTGGTCAAAATATTAGTGCGTAAGTATTGATATTCAAATAAAAGTAATATAATGATAACACGCATATACAGTATGTAATACCTCTCAATTTTGGGTGTCACAATTCCCACCTCTTCTAAACTTTCCCTAAAATGGCTAGAATTATCAACGGATATTTCTAATGATTCGAAGGCTCCAATCAATTCGTCTATTTTCATTTCTGATTTTTTCTCAGATCTGTGTAAAAAGTCCTTGGCTCGTTAATAAAAGTCATTTAACGAGAAGAGAGTTGAGTGTTAAAAATACTTGCAAACTTGATACCGCAGCACCATAGGCGAGCTTGTATGGCGGGTTACCCGCGTCAGATATCAGACGAGAAAGCTTGAGGTAAAAATCGAGAAGATGCTGCACATACATATTCCATAACTTCTCATGGGATGGTGGTATCAAATAGTAATACTGAAGTTCTTTAAAACGTTCCTGCAGAGTAATTTCTGTTGACGAATGATTAAATACTTTGTTCGATTTTTCGGGAATTCCCCGAAATTTTTTGGTACTTTTTAACTTTTTGATGAATTCTTTTCGGTCTTTTTCTAACTTATCGATTAAAAATTTTAACTCGGTATTCGCTTGTTTTAATTTTGAACCGAGTTTAACCAAAAATTTACTATTTTGAGTATCAAGGATGTGTTTTCTAATCACTCTCCCATAGCGACAAATATTCATAATTGGTTTAAAACAATAAGGGCAGCGTTTGAGGTCTACCGGCCGACCAACAATGGGTTTTATTGTGACCCAGTTACCCAGTCCATCATCTTGATAGAAATTTTCCATCTTTTAAATAATGCGATGAACATATTTGTTAATTTAAGTACCACGAGAGGCCATTTATTATACTGTAATATAACCTTACCTCCATTACTCTATCTAACATTTTGGCCGTAAATACGTGATCGCAGTCGAGAACAACCATAAGTTCATTGTTCCAATCAACCTTGGCAAAGGTTAATCGCTCGTCAACGACTAGTTTGAGTAGAAAAAAAAATTTTTTTTTTGTAATGTTAGAAGCAACTGTAAATGGTCAAATTAACAAATCGATAGTTACCTTGACCCTTTACATCGTCAGGAGCGCACATCACGCAGAATTTGGATGATGGACATTTCTCTCCACAAATTCCAAAGCTGAATAGGTCGAAAAAATCATATTACAAATGTAGAGAGAGATTAGCTGATATCTATCAAGATTTGAATGCGTAAAGTCACACATTTTACCATCTATGACCGCACTCGAGAAACTTTTGGCAATGGTTATTACACGGTAACCTAGAAACGATTTCAAAGAGTTTAATGATTTAGGACTACAGGTTTGTCGCAAATAAAAAAAATTAAAATTAACCTCGAACAGGGTACGCCACATGGAAGTTGACAGCTTCCTATTTTTTTTTTTTTTTTTTTACAAAAGGTTAATGCTACTCAGTACGATTGAATACTGGATAATTGATATGGCCTAAATAATACCTTCATGTTCACACGACCAGTTACATCGTTCCGCACACGCACGACAAGGAACTGCACATGACGATTTGCATTTTGAATGATCACAATAAACAATGCACTTATCATTGCATGCTGGGCAAGGATCGCCTTGATGGCATCTCGCTTTACAACTAATTTCAAGAATAAACGTGCGTAAAATGATACAGTAAAATCCTCCGTTGGAAATGGAAGTATCAACAAATTAATATAAATACAAACGTGTGACCACAGGGCAGATCACCAGAGCAGGTTCCCTGGCATTTTCCATGATTAACTCGTTTAACATAACCGTCATTGTCAATCGGAGGCACATCGCCGTTTGCTTTAATAGTAATTCTTTGACATTCCCCGCAAGATGATTTACACCTAAAAAGAAACAAGCGTATTTTTAGATAGTTGACAACCTTAATAGAATTTAAGAATCGTCTTGGCCTTACTCATGACCACATTCCGGAATTCGAGAGCCACAAGATTTGGGACACGTAAAGTTATCAATAGACCAATGACACTAACAAAATTATAATGTTGAGTTTGATTAAATTATGATTTAAACTTTTAAAAATAATTCATCTCATACCTCCATAATAACCTCATGTTCACATTTGACTAAAAGGTAAAAAGTAATGTTATAGGGGATTCGTTAAAAAAAAAAAAAAACAAAAGAAAAAGAGATCGTAATAAAGAAAATAATTAATTACGCATTTTTCGATAAACCCTCGTCCTACATTTTACCTCTCCCAGATTACGACTTTGGTGGCATTTCGCATTCATTAAATAATGCCCACAAGGCAATTGGATGTCTCCAGCTGGAAATTCGCACTTCCCACACTCCCTTCCACATTCGCGGTCACCTACATTCGTTTATAATAATCTCAGTTGGCTAGGTGTGGTTGTGGTTATTTAACCGAATGTTTATGACTTACAAGGATGTTCACAACCATCATGCAATCTAACACATGGTTTCTCGCAGTAAACTGAAATGTGGCTGCATAAACCGAGTTAACATAATATAATCAATGTCGGGCATAATTCCAATCAATAAAAATAAGTCATAACAGTTCACAAACTTAGGATCATCGGCATGACATTTATAAGGACCTATGGAAATTTAGAAAATTGAGCCTCCACCAATATTTTGTCTTTTCAGGTTGTCAGATCAATACGAAAGTACTTACACGAGTGACCACACTTGAGTTTTGTACTACAGGGAAGCGTGCATCCTCCGTCAGGTGACACTTCCTTGAATTGTTCGGGTCTGCTGATAATGTTCTTATAATCGGGGTGTAGTGCGCATACCGTCGGAAATCCTTCGCCAACCTGCGGCGGTTGGCGAGATCGGAGAATCCCGATTACCCCATCCCACATTTTGGACCTTTTCCCCATGAGTTCGGCATTGCCAATAAGATACATGCCTTGTCGAGCTCGCGAAAGTAAAACGTTTGTTCGATTTTTAGACTTTAAGAAACCGATAGAACCCCGATCTTTTGCATTCGCAGTATTTCTGACAAGTGAAATAATAACTATGTCGGCCTCTTCGCCTGAATAAATAAGAAGGTTTTCATGGAGGTACGTAAATACTCTTTTCGTAAACAATAACCCGACATGATTCACGTACCTTGAAAATTGTCGATCGTACGTAACACGACCTTTTAGATGAACGTGAATGTTAGAGGAGAGAATAGAAAAATTCGTTAAAAGCATTGCCATCAGAACCTGTTGTGTTAAACTTTTTCTTGATGCCACACTTTCTGATTCCTGTTGATTCTGTCGATCAGCATTATCATCCTGTGAATCTTGAAAATCCGTGATAGCATCATTATCGCGATCATCTATCACAACCACGAAGGATCCTGACAGAGCGTCCCTTATTTTAATCATTTGACCTAACAATTAATTCGAAAAAAGATATAAACCGATTGATATTCTTAAAAGAATGAACGGAAAATCAAGCAAATTATTGCGGACCTAAATACGGTGTAAGAACAGCAATCTGCTCTGATTTTGAATATCCGTTTCTGATAAAGTACTACAGTGTAGTTCGTTGATGTTGAATCTCTGATTTAATACTTGTCATCTATATAGGGCACATATTTATCCACCTACCTTCACCATCTCTACAACCATCTCGACTTCATACTGATTAGAGTGAGATTGAAGAGCATGTTCATTTTTCGATGGATCCTCTGGATTTCGGTGGTCAATGAAGAAAACATTGCTCTGCACTCCACAAACATCAGGATATCTTGTTGTTTGATGATCTTCTAAGTGTGGATAGATACTTTTTCTAATCAATTCGGCAATTTCACTCCTCATGCGTCGTTGTGTTAGAAGTTGGGTTGTTTCTATCTTCATGCAAGAATTATTTCCGTGCACCAGACGTTCGAACAAGCTTATGTCCAAGCCGTAATTTTTTCCGGAGTCAGATTCCACGGATAATTTATACTGATAAATAAGAACAGTGATGTAAATGCAACCAGAAATGATATTAAGTAGGCATTATATGGAAGTGACATACCGCGCCTGTGTATATAGACGGCCAAAAAATGGTCAGTAATTATACTAGGCGAAAAAAAAAAAAAAAAAAAAAAATGGGAATCCAAATAATTACAAATCTTGGGACGCAATTGATTGTGGTCTCCTATGAGGATAATATGCTGCACGGATGGTGTTAGACTGCTTAAGATATGTGCTTCCAGAACTTCACCTAAAAACATATTTCAATTCGATTAGAAAATTTTATGTAACGCGACCGCCGTCGACGGTTTGAGAAAGTAGACGAACCAGCCTCTTCGCAAATAATGATTTTGGGTCCAATTGACCTGGGGTAAATTTAAGCTTATCGATTACGCTCTTTCAAATTTTACGTAGTGTGTATTAAGGTAAGAAAATTTTTACCTAATAAGATTATGATACTTTGCAGCACCGCTTGTGGTTATTCCGATGACATCGCTATTACATAGGATATCACGTCGTTCTTAAACATAGAGACATAGATGTATCCTCAGTATTGATATTCCTTGTGAAACACCGATGTGATATTAATTAAAAGCATAATGTACCTTCACTATATATTTTTTCCAATTCATCTCTCAGCTTGTCGTGTTCTTTTTTTAATTCTTCGAGCTCTCCGATATCATTCAAATGAATTTCTTCTCTCCAAAGATCGTGTAAAATCTTGCGTTCTGCTCTGGACATACTCCAGATATTGCAATCAACCTAATCATAGAAAGTTATGATGGAGATTCCTTATCTAAATCTTTAACAACGCAACCCACGATTCAGGTTAACCAATTTATTACCTTTAATTCCTCTAAACTTCTTTTGCCTTCTGGCATCTCCCATGAACTAAGCCAACTCAGAAATTCGCGGTCTTCATCAGAATCAGAGTTGTCGTCATAATAATCATCATCCTCAAAGTCAGAGTTGTCATCACCATCATCATCATCAGAAGTGGCAAGCGCGGCAAACGTATTCCCTTCTGCTTTCTCTACTTCATTATCAACTAAATTGGATTTGAACTGTTCGGCCCTCGTTAAGTCTGTGCCATGAATCCACTGTCCGAGTATTGACATTTTCTTCTTTTTCCGACGAGCTGTCTGCCATTCATCGTCTTCGTCTTCCAAAAGGTCATGCGGAATATTAGGAATCACAAAATTTTGATAATGTGACGGATAATTGTTCTGTAAGTATGTGGTGACTGAAGCGTGTTCCCAGCTAATCAGATTAGATTCTTTGCTATTTATAATTTCTTCCGCTCTCTTCTGAATATAGTTTAGTTCAACATGAGTGTCTCTAACACTTCTCAATACTTCCCTCGGTCCCCGAGCAAAACCTCCACGTTTTCGGATCTCATCGATCTGATATTTCATAATGGCTTCCGATTTTGACCTTGTACCCATTCTCACGATATTGCTTATACCTTGATCCAAAAGACCTGTGAATCATGAATAAACGTAACAGGGAAATAGATATTATCTGGCAAGGTTCAAATTATGAAAAATTTGGATACCAAATGAGCAAATAATTACTCTGTAAAAATGAATCCAATGCATGATTTGTGTAGGTGATCGTAATTATTGGCCCTAATCTGTGCTTGCGATTTTTTTCCGCCAACAATGTGCGCATAATTTGAACACCGATATAAGATTTGCCCGTCCCAGGAGGTCCTAACACGACACGTAATTACGATTTAATATTCGGAAGAAACGATACCAATAATTGTCATTGTTGTGTCCTCAATTACCTTCGATCAGTGCAACTTCGCGACTCAGAGCCGAGACAAGCGCTTGGGCTATTTCAATAATATGTTAGCATAAAAAATTCCCCACTCAATAAATGACGAATATTTAGGGCGTTCTTATATTAAGGAAAAGTGCATTACATTGAGTCTTATCAAGCTTGCCATGTTTTTCCAGGCATTCGGTCGCATTACTTCTAGAATGCTCGTCTACAGTATTCAAATGCAATTCCATGTTCTTGTCATCGAGTAAAACCGAGAGCTATTAAGAAAATGGTAGAATCAAGGCATGAAACTACTGTGTTATAAGAAGAAACTAATGATCAGCATCTAAAATCATAATCCTTCTTACATCAAATCTGAAGCCAGGGGCCATGGTATAGGTGGGCGGCTCGACATCAGCGACCTCGCCAGTTATATCCTCATCTGATCGTGGCGCGAGGTACTTTGCAAATGGGAAAGACTCGGGTTTCGATTCTTGAAGTATTTTCAATATATTCTTAAAACTTTCAAAAAGAAGATCTGTCGATTCAACCATAAAACGATTCCTGATCGATTTTCCAGAAGCATTTTTGTTTAAAATATCAATATCTTTCATGGCGATCGAAAATATGGAAAGATCGATGAAATTAATGTCTATCTGTGCACTTTCCACTTCTTTTGACAACAGGTCTACATTTCTCTCAGCGACTGTGCCAAAATATATGGAATATTCTGCGGCGTTGATGGGGTTTCTCCCGCCACTGGAAATATCTTCGTTTGGCCAAAGAAGACAAACCATATTTCCTTGTGAAAGCTTTTTGGATTTTTCCCAGTAAGCTTTACGTGCTTGCCGTGTTCTTTGAGCATTGGGCGGAGTGAATGAAACTCGACAAGAAAATCCTCTATACTTGGTTATGACGACATCGGAAATTTTCACTTCGGTGTAAACGTTTAGATCGCTATTATCCCCCTGATTATTATGCCTGTATCTTCCTCGATTCTTAAGTTTCTGCATTTGTGTGCTATTTTCGCTCGATTCTCTAAGAAAATCAATGAAGCCGTTGATGCACAGACGAAAATCGTTAAGCATATCTTCTCTGAGCAAACGAAATTGCCTGTCGAGAAGACGTGCGACACCTTTAGGCAGATGATGTATAGAATCATCCTCAATCATACTAGGTAAATATGGTTGGCGTTGGCATATTGTTTCCTGTTTGGTAGGAACGATAGATATCTCGGATATATTATCGCAGTCATTATCATGACGCTTGCCATCCGATGAAAGTTCACCTTTTAAATGAATAAGGGATTTATTATTGCACTATATAATGACCACTACAGTATATGCATATAAAATTCAAACCTGGTGGGTCATAAATCCTCTGCAAGTCTGCCAATCTAGACATATTTTTATAATAGTCGACTTTTGAATTTTCTATTTTTCTTGTTTTCGGTACCAACAAGTTGCTATCATTATTTATTCTCCCTAACATATTATTCACATCATCGATTTCTTTTTTCAAAATCAGAAAGAAATAATCTCTGTTCTTCTCGTCGGATGTGAGTGGATCAGAAATGAAGAGTTGTTGTTGAAAGGACTCGTACAACTCGTCCTTCAACCTCCTAATCTTTTCGGCAATTTTGCACACCGTTTCGTTAGACGATGCGGCTTTTATACGCTTTAAAAGTTCTTTGACCAATCGAACAACAACCAAAAAAAATTGACCAATACTAAAGATAACAAGTTGAAAAATAATATTTGCGAAAAACTTTAAAACAATAACCTTTGGGATGGCAGATTTGAAAAACGCAAAAAATTATACATACGAAGTGGGAATAAACGCATTTGGATCGTCAGCAAGTAATTCATTTTGACTCACTCTTTGGTCAGTCACATCCCTTCTTGTCACCAGTTCTTGAAGCCTGGACATCACGCTGTCGTCCACAAAAGAGTCCTGTAACCAAATGCAGTGAATATCGAGTTCTCAAAAAAGATCATGTTTATATTAAAGATCACTAGTAAATATATAATGAAGTACCAAATTATTATAGATGATAGAATAGATGGCATTTATTTCTTTCTCAAAGGTGCACTCGATAATTCCTTCACGAATCAACAGTGCTAGGAAGGGTAAGGTTACGCGTTGAAAAGATGCGATGTGAGGTTGTTTTCCCGCGTCCACTGACGTCGGAAACTTCACGATTTCTTTGATTCTTTCTAATCCGTTCGAAGAACCTAATTCTTCTATGAGCGTATTTAATTCATAACCTGCTTTCTTTGCATCAACAATACACGACGTTATGAATCTTCTCAGTTGATGTTGATTCAAAAATCCTTTCTTGATCATTCTCTTCCATGCCCCTTCGTATTTCTCCCCGTGAGGAACGGAGACAATTGTATCGCTTCCACTGTATGATAGTTCGGATGAACCAAAACTATTGGATATTGCTCGACGTTGTTCGCCCACTATTTCCTCTGCGGGTGGAGGAGGAGCTAGCTGACGTTGACCTTGCCTCTGCTGAATTCTTCTGTTCCCTCTACCAACATGATTCCTTCTGTACCTATTACTGGATTCACCGTTCATAATTTAAATTGTGATTTGTTTCGTATCGCTATCTTCACTTATGTTCAGAGGATGGTTGACAGAAGCGATCACAGCATGCACTGTAATTTAAGTAGTATAAGTAATTGTTTTTAAAATTGGAATAGCTTGATCATCATTTTGTCATTGTACCCTCAAATGGAATATACGCAGCTAATCTCTACCTTCTACCTTATATAGTATAATATAATTTGAATACTTTTTTTTCTTTTCTTTTTTTTTTTTTTTGTAACCTGCAATCATGCCGTCACGGCTTGCCTTTATTTGAGATATTAAATAATGTTATATTGGCTATCACATGACGATTAATTCTTCTTTATACGTTGAATTACTTCACTTTTCTAGTAGATTAATAAGATTAATACCACAACCTTTATCTATTAGGATTATTATCAATAATTTTCATTATTGATCATTTCAAAAAACAAATTTATGAATTAAAAAAAAAAAGAGAAAAAAAAATTTTTTTTTTTATAATTTTTTTAAAAAGATATATAGATTTATTTATTATATTTTTTCTATTAGTACTATATTTAAAAAGATTATTTAATAGAAATAAAAAAATTTTTAAAAATTTATTTAATTATGATATAAACTTGAAGACTTTAGCTTTAAAGAATTCTTATTGAGAAATGAGAATGAATAATTATTTGCTTTATTATTGCTTTACATTTTTTTGTATTATTGAAAAATAATAATCTTAATAAATATGTTGAATTTTTACAAAATTTTCTCAATAAATTAACTATATATATTATAATTATTAATTATTAATATTATTACTAAAAAACATATCTATATTCTAAAAATTAACATATTTTTATTACCTAATTACCTTTTATTAAGATTAAATTATTCAAAAATTTAATATCGAATTGAAATATAAAATTTTTTATGAAATTTTAAAAATTTATAGTTTCTATTTATAAAACTATTTATATTTGAATTAAATTATAATTTATTGACAAATTGAATATATAAATATGATTTATTCAAGCATTATTATATATATTGTAACTAAAATATTTATTAAATCTAATAAATTTATTTTAAATAATAATAGTATTTCAATTTAATCTTAAAAACAATATTTTATTCTATAATAAACTTTGAATAAAAAATTTTCAATTTATATATCACAAATCTTATCTTTAAATAAAAATTTTCTAGTTTATATATTATAAATAATAATTTATCACTATTTGATATTTTATTAAAGAAAAAATAATATAAAAAAATTATAAAACAATTATTAAAAAATAAAAAATCCTTTTTGCTAATTCTTCTTTTTTAAAAAAAAATTTTTTTTTTTGATAATTTTCTTGAAAAAAATAAATCAATCTAAATATACAATAAAAAACAATATATTCTTTAAATCAAGCTATCAAATACTCATAATACACATATAATAAACTATTTAGAAGCATTAAAAATAGGGATATTTACTATTTTACTAACTTTTTTACTTCTTTTTCTTAAAAATTTTTTAAAAAAAAGAAAAAAAATCCAAAAATAAATTTATAGTTAGAAAAAAGAAATCAATATTACTTCACATAATTTATAACTAGATCAATACATATTAATACTTTTTTTGATACTATAAGAAACTTAAAAAACAACTAAGCTCACTCAATAAATTAAGTAGCTTCAGTTATCTTAAGGTCAAAAAAAATATAAAAGTTTTTTAAAAATAAGACAATTTAAATATACATATATATTAAAACAAAATACATATTTCAAATTTTGTTATGTATATATAAATATATAAAAGCAGAGAAACAAAACAAAAATATATAAATATAACTTATTATTATAATAAATTGATTAACTCTTTATATAAATATGATAAAAACTCTTAAATTAAAATAAAATTATTAATGCATACAAATGAATATATTTAAACAATAAAACAAAGTTTTTTTATAATACCAAAATAAATATATATAAATAATAACAATTATAGATAGGTTATTTATATTCTAAATATTGTTAGCCTTAATTATTAATTATATTTTTCTTTAATTATTATCTATAGTTCTTATTTATTATATTACTCTAATTCTATTTTTAAATTACATAATACAGTGATGCAAAATGTATCTCGTTGATTCATAGAGTAAATCCAATCATTAAGGCAAAGTAGTAATTGATGTAGCACATATTATTTAATTTCTTTATTTAATGATCATATCTTATCTATATTTAACCAGTAGATTATCCAAGTGAACAGATCTGGTATATTGATCTAATTTGGTAGATTCGGTCACTTTGATTACTTTATTTATCAAATAATTAATATTCAATTATATACAGTATATAAAAGCCAACTGTCCAAAGTAGTTGACTCAAGGTTTTATCTATTGAATTCTCTTATCCTTGATATTATATATCTCTAATAAACCTTCTAATTAAACCAAATCACCGAAAGTCTCTTTTAACATGTTTGTGTAATCTCTACTATCCTTGAATTACCAACTTTAATATATTATGATTGAGATATTCTTCCTTAACTTAAAGTGGATTATTGTTATAGTTGTCTCATCTATCTATCTGATTTAGAGGTTATTGGATAGATTGACAATATAAATTATTAATAAATAAATAAATAAGAAAAAATATAAAAATATCTAAACAATTACTACACAATAATATAGAACATAAAATATATAACAACTATAATATTGTTAAAACAAATATATTAAATTTATAGCAATATTACAAATAGTATAAAATAGAAAAAAAAAATACTAAATATCTTAATTAAAATAATGAGACAATATAATAAAAAAAATAAAATATAAGTAATATAATAAATACTCTAACCAAAAACAAATCTTTTTCCGCTAATCCTCTGATCACACACAAAAAAGATGTTCGCAAGAAGTTTTTATACTTCTTTGCTAATAAAGTCTTAATACTTTCC